GGTGAGGCTAATGATGGTTACCGCATCCGGTGTCCCATCTGTTGTGTTGGCCGTTGTGTGGCTCAAGGGCTAATGCGGATTCGGGTTGTGTATGATAACCAATAAGAAATATGTTTCCCTTCCCCAATTATATAATATATTCATATTCAGATGCTAGAGACCAAAATTAATTGAATGTTTGCTTTGATGAAATTCGAATTATAATGTTAATTTTTAGCTCGATGAATAACAAGTGTTGATTTTGTCTGTTCAGCATATTTAAAAGAGTTCAGTAGTTTAATGTTACGCTTCAATTAGCATGGCAACATGGCCTGATATTACTTTTTTTTAGTATGAGTTAACAAAGAATTAGAGTTTAACTGTGCCGGGAGGCCTGCATATTTTTATAATATTATTTGATGTGAGATAATTGTTAAAAACTAAACAACGAGCACGATGCTTTTGTTAGTAACAAATATGATCAATTATAACAAATTCAGTCATCGTACTTTTTTTTAAATATAATTTACGCAACGCTTTATCGTCTATATGTTTATTCATCTTTATACAATTTCGTACTGCTTTTATAATTGGAATTGCATGAGTTTATCGCATAACACAACTAAAGTCGATTACGTTCGCTGTCCCCCCCCACCTTGCATTTTAATCATTGTAACACGGGGTTTGGTTTTATCCACCAATAATATAATCGCTTACTCAGTGTTTTTCCTTCGAAAAATATTAACGCGACATGGACAAGTTGCATTATCGCCCTATGTTACTTGTCATTCTTCACTCTAAAATTAAGAGATGCACCAAAGAGGAAAGAGTCAAGAAAAAAAAAAGTATGTATAGGTATATCTGCATGCAGCCCAACCCCTGAAAATCAATAAACGAGAAATTAATTTACACCCGACCCGGTTTCACTAAACGGGTCTACTTGTTGGATCAGGATCCAACCCGTCATCCACTAATCATCACCAGCGCGGTAACCTCACCGCTCATATACCCCCAACCTGTGGTTACTAACAGGAGCCAAAATTTTAGGGCTCCTGCTTCTGGAGCCTTCTTCAGGCTCTCTCTCTCTCTCTCTCTCTCCCCCCTCTCCGTTCTCTTCCTCTCGCGAGATCTCCGCCGCGTTTACGTGTAATAAACCCCATATTCTGTTTCCAGCCCATCTCTGTGTTTTTATCTGTTTGTGGTAATTGGGTCTGATCCCTAATGGCTAACGGCGGAGGGGGAGAGGGAAACGGTGATTTTTACGCTGTGTTGGGATTGAGCAAGGAGTGCTCTGATGCTGAGCTCAGGAATGCTTACAAGAAGCTTGCTATGGTAACCATCTACCTGGTTGATTTTTGCTGAAGGTGGGATTTTTTTAGTTGGGTTGTTGGATTTTTTTTTTTTTGGATTTTGAGGCAAGTATGATTGAATTTTATGGGAAAATGGGATAGTTTGTGCGGGCTTTTGTTGTTTTGTTGATTCGTGGTAGAATTTTCAGTTATTGTTCGTCGTTATTGGTATCACTCAAATTTACTTATGCTGGGGGGAGCTTGGTTGATTTTCATGGCGAAACACGTAATTTGTTTTGTTCATTATTTGTTCCTGTTAAAAATAAAATTTTAATAGAACTTGGTTAACTGTTGTTATGAGTATTCAATTGAAGTTGTCCTTTGGACCTTTGCTCTAAAAAAAAAAGAAATTTGTACATTTTTTACCATCTAGAGTTGCAACTTTCGTTTATTACATTAAAAAAAAAAAACTTTTTTTGGGTAGAGATGGCATCCTGATCGTTGCTTTGCTTCGGGGAATTCCAAGTTCGTAGAAGAGGCCAAAGAAAAATTCCAAGCAATACAAGAAGCTTACTCTGGTATTTAATTCTCTTTTTTACCAGATTTAATTAAGATTTCGCCCTTTTTGTTTTTTTTACCCTTTCAAATAACTGCTATTTTGCCTGAGAAGTTGTTTTTTGTTGGCAGTTCTCTCTGACTCCAACAGGAGATTCTTGTACGACGTCGGGGTCTACGATAGCGATGATGACGAAAACGTGGGCCCGCTCTTAACGGCAAAACTAACGGAAACCGTTTACTTTTTTTAACGATTCAACCGAACTAATTTTCCCAATTTACTGTTCACAGGGCATGGGGGATTTCCTGGGCGAAATGGCGCAGATGATGAGCCAAACGAAACAGGGCGTAAGCGATTCGCAAAACTTTCTAGGCTTTTTAATTGCAAAAAAAATTACGTGATGACGATCCAATCTGGGCCGTTGATTTTTAGGAGAACGGCCACGAGAGCTTCGAGGAGCTACAGCAGCTGTTCGTGGACATGTTTCAGTCTGACGTGGGCCACGATCGATCCGCGTCGTCGTCGAGTCAACCCTTCTGCAACGGGAATAATAACAAGCGCGATAACTCGGCGATGGGTTCGGTTCAAGCCGGTGGCGGGGAGTTCGAGTCCGGTTCGGGCTCGTTTTGCTTCGGGGTGAGGGGCTCCTCTATTTTTGTTTGGGGTTTTCTTTGATATTAGTCCCCCGGATCTTTCATATTTTTTAGATTAGTCTCCCAAATCTTAGTATTTTAAAATTAGTTTCCAAATCGTCTAAGTATTTTAAAACAGGGCGATTCTATAGAAATTATATCTTATTTTTAACTTGTATACAAATTATATTTGAAGTGATTTTTATTACAATTAACTATTTGGACTCACTTTTAAATCAAATTTTTTTATCGAAGAATTTTGCAAAACAGACTCATTCCCAAATTTTTTTTAAAACCGATCCTTTTTTTTATTTACCAAAACCGACCTGATTTTGTAATAAGCTACTTAATCACCTTCCTAAACAGTCGGGGTTGGCAATCCCGACTATTTAGGACATTATTTTTTAGGGTTTAAGGCTTCTAATTAGGATTTAACACCTTCCTAAATAGTTGGGTTGGCAACCCCGATTAAGCTGCTAATTACAAAATCGGGTCGGTTTTGATAAATAAAAAAAATGGGTCGGTTTAAATAATTTTTTTTTGAAATGGGCCTGATTTGAAAATTTGTTCTTTTTTATCATATTGAGTTGTAAAATACCAAGCACATTATTGAGTCGATCCTTGATCGAGGTTAGATGGGGTGAAATAACGGGGAAAAAAGCATAACTGAAAAGCAAGCTTAGATGGTTAATTGCAACTAAAAGTACTTTAGAGGTGGTTTATATATTAATTGACGGTTAAAGGTGATTATCGTAGCGAGCTTAGATGGTTAATTGCAGCTAAAAATACTTTAGAGGTGGTTTATGTATTAATTGACGGTTAAAGGTGATTTTCATAGAAGGGCTCTATTTTAAAGATGATTTTCATGGGAAAAAAAAAACATTTAAATTTAGCTCTCGCAAGTCTAGTAAGTGGTCTACTCATTGCGGGTTGCAGGTTCTAATGTAGCTAATCTAAGACGGTTAGGAGGTTCTATTATGGCTGTTATGAGCCTGTGTTTGATTCTGAGCTGCTCGGGTGTAAATACGTTACGCCTTCACATGAACTTGACTATCAATGCATTTTACTGAACTTGACTATCAATGCATTTTACAGACAAGCGACTCGCGGCAAGCGTCAAAGGGAAGAGGAGGAGGAGGGAGCAGCAACGGCAGCAAGAGCAGCAAGAGAAGGAATGGGCGGAAACAGAACGTTTCATCAAGGGATGCTGAGATTTCAGCCGCTTAGATCTAGTTATTTATCGTATTTAATTTTAGGTCATTAGTCTTCTCCCCTTGAGTTATTCAAATTTTTTTGGCTGAAGAATATCCAAAATTTTGAAGATTGCTCTGAAGGGTTTGAGTGGAGCGAGGGGCTGTGGTGCTTGCACGCATTTTTAATGGGTTATTTACTTATTTATGATTTTTTTTTTAGCTTTTCTTGTTCTCGATTGTTCTTTTTTTCTTTTCCCCCCCTTGGATCAATGTACAATTTATGCCTGCCGAACAATTCTACTTGTACTTTGGACGTATGAAATTTTAATTCTGTGATCGAGATGTTATCTATGACGTTGAGGGAGAATTTCATGAAAAGGGAGGAGAGGAGAAGCGTGTGGTGTTGGACGCAAAACTACCAGTAGGATTTCACAACTTCAACCTCTCCCTTTCACCAGTTCTTGGTTAGTTTGTGTTAATTACGACGCCTTTTTTTTCAAATTCGTCATTAGGTGATGTAGGATGTTTAATCTGACTTAGAGTCTATTTAAATTAGGAAATATAGATTACAAAATAAATTTAATTTTAGAGTCAAATTAAATTATGAAACAAAATTAATTTTGATTTATGATTTGTTCCCTCTATTATAAAGAGTCTTTTTAGGATAGAATTTGACTTTTTTTTCTCTCGTAATTCTAGTCTTAGCAGGAGTTTTATTTGATACTTTTTATTTTTGTAATTCTAGTCTTACTAGGAGTCTTATTTATTTTATTCTATTTAAAAAGAGTCATGTAACCCCAAAGAAAAATAATTTTTCATCAATATTTTTTTTAATATTTTCTTTGTGAATTCGAAGTTCTTCGTGTATTCGGAGATTGTTTTTTTGGATTCAAAGAATACCCTTAGGTACCGTTTGGCAAAGGGTTAAGTGAGGGGTTAAGGAGACTTAACTCTTTCTTAACCTGTCAAACATAACAAATCTATATAAGGGTTAAAGTGAGTTAACCCTTCATAATTTGCCAAACATAAAAAATATAGAAGAGTTAACCTCTCTAGAGGGGTTAAAATGAGTTAACCCCTCAAAATGAGGGGTTTATTAATACTCCTATTTAGATGGAATAAGAGTTAACCCTTTTAATTATAAAGAAAATAGTCAAAATCATTGTTATTCCCAAACACTAAAACTGATCATAAGAGCTAAAATAAAACTTATTTAACGGGTTAATAATTTAGTCATTCGGATTATCAAATGGGCTAAGTACATTAACCCTTCTTCATTAATCTTTTTACCGAACCGGGCCTTAGTGTATTTCGAAGTTACAACTTCCGCGCTGCGTCCTTATGAGCCTAATCCAGGACTCCCTCCCGTCCAAATAAAGGCACGGTTCAGTGACGTGTGCTGAAGCGGAATTATTGTCGTTCGCTACGAGTCTATGCGTTTCCACTTTCGAGGGGTCGTCGTTGCTTGGCTCGATGAAAAGATCTTCTTTAAGCCTTTTGAGTTGCTTGAGCTGTTGAAAGAACAAAAGGACGTCGTCACTAATTAAAGATGTACGCCCACCAGCCTAAAGGATCATACAACTGCCACCATTAAATCATTGTACGGGCACTGCATATTTCTCTCGGAATTTCTAGAGAGATCAAATGATGTTCGGTTTCCTTCCGAGTCCCTCAAGCTTGCAGCGGCTTAATTCCTAAGAATTTGAGTTTGTACGCGCTAGGCCGTGCGGTTCATTCGAGGTAAGGTTATTATTTGATCTCCAAATTAAGCCACGATGTTGTCTTTTTTTTTTTTCTTCTTCTTCTTTTTTTCTTAGCCGCTGAAAAAGTTTGTGCAACTCATCACGTGTGCCCCGAGCAAAGCATGACTTTTTTTTGTCACCACAGTAATCGCGATTTAATTATTACAGTATTTTTAAATGCTACAGTAATATTTTTTAAAAAAATCTTACTGTGCCCCCACACCTGCTACAGTATATATATTTTAAAATGTCATAATATTCTTTTAATAATGTTACAGTAGTATTTTTTTTGAAAATACTACTCCCTCCAATCCAAAATGAATGTCTTTTTAGTTAAAACACACAAATTAAGAAAAGGAGAAAGATTACACATATACCCTCATCCTAGTCTAAAGCTTCCTCACGTTTCAAAATTTCAAAATTTTAAAATTTTAAAATTTCAAAAGGAGAAAGATTACCCATTTCAAAATTTCAACTCAAGTCCTAAAGATGGAATACCTTTTTCTGCCATGAGATTTGATTTTGAAGAATAAATTCGAAATGAAATACTAGTAGTAATCTGGTGTGTGATTTCATCACTTCTAATACTTGTACTTTGAGGAGAAGTGACGCTTGAGAAGAAGCTACAGTAATAAATTGCTTTTCTGAGTTCTATGCAACAGAGGGATAGTAATGGAATAAGTAGCAAATTAAGCCTTGGATATTGTAAAGCGACAACTAAAATGGATTTTGATAAAAAAGCTAAAAAGACATTCATTTTAGATTGGAGGGAGTATAATAATATTATTACAATATTTACTATAGTATTTACTGTAACATTTAATGTAACATGACTAATAATTCCCGGATCCGGCCATCATTATGAAGGAATAGACGTGGTCACATGTATTTTCTCTCAATAAATAGATTTCTTAAACCCAGTAGTACATCAAGCATATTTTCCCTCTTTTCGGAAGTTTTTGCTGTTGGTTCCTGTCAAAATCATGTGATCATTACAATTCACAAAGTGCGTACCGTAAGCAGTGAATTCGGTACCGTCCCTTTAAATTTTGACCTGTGCTGTGATGGTGGGATTGCAGATTGATGGAACATGTTAAGAGAGCAGTTCCTCAGGAGCACCGCCTCCCACTTTATTTGCCTCGTTTGGTGAGAAAAGTATAAAGCACGCCACTGTGGGCGAGATGTGGATGGTAGTTAATCTTCATCGAGGGGGTTACTTGTCAAGTACATAATTTTTTTTCTTAAAAGGTCCTCGGCTCCACACTATTTTTATATGGCAATTTGGCGAAAATTTTCCCCATTTGGGTTCTAATCCGACGACGAGCGAAGGGGCCCCCACCTCCTAAACCAGGACCAAAGACCCAACATAAGCCCGCTCCTTCATCATTGTGGAGCCCGCGGGCCTAATAAGACGCCGACGGAGGTGGAAGTCGTGACTGGGCCCCCCTCTTTGGGCCCACAGAGACCATTTCTAAAGGATGCGGGGGGGAAGAGTCGCAAATAACCTTCTATGGGAAAACTCATTAAAAAAAATTCCTAATCATAAAAGGTACTAGATAATATTTGATACAGAAAACCGTCTGGATCGGAGGAAGGGTGACGTGTCCCACTATTCATCTCAAATTAGCACGAATATTTAAGAAGTCGATGAGAATAAACTAACGAAACAATTCAAATAATACAGAAAAAGGCAATGCAATAACAAAAAAAAATGATAGTGGAACAAACAGTTATAAAGATTTACCTCGCACACCCTACATGATTCGTTTCCATTTCCTAGTATGAGGAAATACGGCGGCCTGGGGGCAAGTTGAGAGCCCAGTTGAGCCTGACCCAAGGGACAAATGCTGTCGGTTCGGTCAATCCACACCTTTGCTGAGCTGGCCCACACAACTTGGCCCAGTAGATGTTAAGGTGGGCCACTGATTGGGTCACTTCATTGTGTGTACAATGAACGATGGAGGCCGATTCATTGATCGGTTAGGGGGGTGTTTTCATCGTGGGATTTGAAATCCACGGGTGCTTTGTTATGGGTTGGGATTTCTAAAATATTGTTTGTTTCGTTAATATTTTGGGATTTGGAATACTACAGTTTGTAATATTTTGTTTGTTTCAAGCTCAAATTGTATAGCATTACCAAATGTCAAAATTTTATAATATGATGAATATGCTATCTTGGTGAGGTCACCTCCCACAAAAATACAAAATTAAGATTTGTCAAATCCTCTCCAATTGAGAGGATTTGGCAAATTCTAAAAATTTGCTATCTTGGTGAGGTCTCCCATTTATGTGATTTGTCAAAATCCTCTCTAATTGAGAGGATTTGGCAAATTCTAAAAATTTGACATTTTTTACACTTTTGAGATTCAATATTCTAAAAATTTTTCTTAAAACAAACATCATATAAAGAATCTCAAAATACAAAAAATACTTTTTTTTTAATCCCAAAACTCGTAATCCATACTAAATGTCAAAATTTTTGGTGAAACAAACATCCTCCCACTTAGGAAGTTACATCTTTGATCCACTTCTTACTTCTGATGGTTACATCCATCCAAACGGGCCCTTAAAATAGGTTGTTGAAGTTAGAAAAAAGAAAAATGGAAAGGGGGTGGGGGGAGCACCAGCGTATCATGCAACTCGATGATTCAGGGGCCCTGAATTTTGTAAGTGGGAGAAAATAAATGCTAGTTCATGAACCTGAGCAATTGACAGCTACTTTCAGACTTTTATTAGGGTCGGAGGCTTAACTCAAATCTCAAATATGCGTGCAGCTCATTGCAGCCTTTATCGGATTCATGACATAAAGTGGTTTGTGAGAACAGGACAAACTTTTATAGTACGTTGAGGATGTACATACACCATGAAAGGATGGAGTGGAATCTAAGAATAGTGCAGTGACGTCTACATTCAATGATCATTAATGTGCGTCAAAAAGTTTGACAATTTTTTTTTTTTAGATTTTAATGAAAGGGCTTTGCTTTTGAAAAAGCCACCTTTAAAATAGGATGGTTTCATAGAAATCACCCTTCGTTTCTAATTTATATATGAATCGCCTAAAATATTTCTTATAGCAATTGATTACTTGGGTCCATTTTTGAGTCAAGTTCCTTTGGTTTTGTTATAATAATTTAATTGTCAAATGCCACGTATATTAGAGAGATGATTCTTTGATTGAGGTTAGGCCGACTCAACTACCAAAAAAAAAATCTTAACTTAAAAGTGGCCCCTAGTTGGTTGATTGTAACAAAAAAAAGGCAATTTTGAAAGTAGTTTGTATATTAATTAAAAATCAAAAGTGGTTTCTACAAAATGACCATGTTTTATGTGATTTTTATGAGGAATATATACATCAAAAAGTCTAGAGGTTAGTGCACTAATTACTAAATAAATTAGTGAGACATGTTCATATTTTTCTTTGTGTTAATTTGGGGGCAGGGCATGCAGAATATCTCAATTTTAGCAAATACCTAATCTTCTTAAACTATTCATAACACCCTCGTTGAAAAATGTCATATGTTGTACATTAATGCTCAAAAGATCCATATAAATTGATATTATCCCAGATCGTAGCTTTTGAGCCGAATATCTTTATCACTAGTGGTCCTTATTAAAATGGGGGCATATTATCCTTGATACTAAAAAATATATACTGTGAGATAATGTTGTTTTTTACAAATAAATACTAACAAGGGAAAATCTATTTTAACGTTTTATACCGTTTGTAGTGGTGTCATAAACTTGAGCCGTCATATAGTAAATCTACATTTGAAGCATATTAGAAGAAAGAATTATACTGCTAAGCTAATGTGCCATGGTGATAATTTTCAATTTTTTTCCTAGCAGAATTTTGTAATTATGTGCGATTAATACACTATTTTTTGAGTCTTTGTTAATTTTATTTTTACGATTCTTCAATTTTCTGCTTCTTTAAAAAATCAACTAAAAACAGTATCAGAAAAATAATTCCAAAATAATGAAATAAACAACTTCCAACGAACACTAAAACATTTATTCAAATTCCAAACTCAATCATCCAGAGATAATCATTCTCTGTCATCTCCACTCAGCAAAAAAAAAAAAAGAAAAAAGAAAAAAAAGAAAAAAAAAAGAAAGAAAATTCCAAATTGGTTTATAAAAACCCAAGATATTAAGCAGCCTCTGCCTTGACTTTCTCGATCAAGTCAACAGCATCTTGAACGGTTGAAACATTCTCAGCTCCACCTTCTCCGATGGACACTCCGAACTCCTCCTCCAATGCCATCATAATCTCCACCTAAACACAAATTTTTTTTAGGAAAAAAAATAAAATCAAAGAGCTGAGGCTATTTTTGACGAAATACAAAATTACAACAAGATTGCAAAGTCTTAATTATAAAAAAAATTTTACGCACGGTGTCGAGTGAATCAGCTCCCAAATCAGCGAATTTAGTGTGAGGAGTCACGGTGGTCTCATCGATGGATAGCTGTTTGGCTATGGTGTTTTGAACGATCTCTAGGGTCTCCGGTTGAGCCTGCATGAAGTAATCAGCCGGCACCACAAAAAAAAAAAAGATTAATTGCATATACATCCTTGTATTATGAGGATGTAATAACGTTTATCTTATAAACTATTTTATTAACACTTACACACGTGTATTTGCAATTAAAGAGATAACTAGACGGTAGAATAAAGCTTACAACGGAGCATGAGATTTTTGACTTGAAACGTCTTGAAAAGGGAAGTGAGCTCTTTGTAACTCCTTTGAGTTGAATACTTCGTGGGAGCCTTAGCCCATTAACCATAGAGACGCTCTACGATGAAACATGCAAATAATTTAAACAAAGCAAATTCTGAGTTAAATTCGTATTGTTCATGATTGCATATATATATGAAAACAAAAATAAATGCTTTACCATGGCATTGAGCTGTCTAGGTTGGATCCATGGGGCGGCGGCCGAGAGGGTCATTGAGAGAGGAGATGAAGAGAGAACAGAAGCCATGGAGGGTTGAAGGATGATGGAGCTCAAGAGACGATGCAAGCAAAGGGGGGATGATGATGGTTGAACCTTTGGTGTTGATTATATACAAGCTTTCTGTGACACCAAATTAGTGAAATTTTGGGGCGGGGGATTAAACCAAGGTTTGTGTGAGCTTTGCATTAATTGTGGGTGGTCGATACAATGCTCCTCGCTCACACAACTTGTGTTTGTAATTCAAAGCCTCATCGAAGAATTGGCCGAAGTTGTCATTTGTTGGTAGCTTTATGTCAAAAAATATGTGTGAGAACCATTTCCTACATAAACTTACGAACCCCAATGCAGGATAAATGGTGTATCAGTTGTGTTACTCAGATTCTGAATCTTCCATTAAAAAAAAATTTAAAAATAAAAGAAGAGTGTACGTCGCCCTAGGAGACTATTTGTTTCATTTACTAAAAACATAGGGAAAGGACTAAGGTGCAAAATATACATTTTCCATGCATTTCTTGAAAAAAAAACATTTTTCTTTCAACCAAATTATATATATATATAAAAAAGGGAACGGAAATTTTTAACAACAATCATGTCCAACAATCAGCCCCCAATTCACCAATATTCAGTTACTAATTTTCACCTTTCCACAGTGGAATTGGTTTTCGCCCCAAAATTAGCACTTTCCGTTTTTACAGGAAAAGTTTTCCTATAACTGTTTTGCGAAACAAATACAAGAACAGAAAAGTTTCCAACTCCAAAATTTTCAAAAATGTGCCAGGAAGTTTCCATACTAGGATTCCTTTTCTTTTTCTTTTTCTTTTTTTATTCTGTTGGAAGAGAACGCTTTTTTTTTAAAGAAACAAATAACCCGTTACGCTTTTGATCCCCTTGGCATTACTCCTTCCAAGGTTGAAAGCTCAATCTAGAGATAAAGACCACGCATGACCGCCCTTTAAACCACAAGAGAGAGAGAGAGACTTGTAAGTCACGCAAATTGGATTGTAAATCCTTCAACATTTGATCTTTCCACGTACTAAATCCAAAATAAAACCCGTAACCAACAAGAATTAAGAGCAAAGCTACAAAAGCTGGATCAATCGACTGAGTCAACATTTGCCATATTAAAATCCATACCTGCACCAACTTTCTCGATCTTATCAACACAATTCCATTGGGGGTTCCACACATCCCACCACATTATTTCATAAACAAGAAAACTACCCTGTTATCAAAAGCCGGAGTGCTGCTACGGGGACCCAAAATATGGGACCAATGGAAAGGACATGTAAGGTGTCCCCTCCCTATTGCATAATGAGTTGGCATGAGTTGGCATAGCCAACTCATTAAGCAATAGGGATGAGACACCTCACATGTCCCCTCCCTTGGTCCCATATTTTGGGTCCTTAAATCATTTTCCCAAAAGCCGAACGCATCTTAAAATGTTCTTAGCTAATCCCATTTGATGATGAACAACGCTAGCCGATTACGGACGCTCAACATTACAGTTCCAAATTGAAACAAAACTTGAGCTAGAAACAATATTAAAGCTTAAAACTGACCCTAAATCCACATTACTAAAGATCAATATACGAGATTTTGCTAAAGCACATCACTTAGTTATAACAATTACAACAATATTTTTGTGCTTCAAATGGTGAAATAACCCTACTATACACAATTTACAGTAATCAATAATGTGGTCAGCTTATGTTTGGCACTACTATTTTGTATGGCTGACTCATTTCCATCTCAGTCAACAAAAATTTTACCACTATATATACAAGAGGTCATGTTACTAAGCCAGTTGGTTTATGAATGTGTCAGGAGACAAGTAAATAGTTTTCAAAATAAGAAAATGTCGGAGGCACTGAGTTAAGGCTGAGATTCAGCACAGATGATAAGTTGAAGTGAAGAAGTAGAGAACAATTTGGGATAAAGGCACTGTTGTTGTCATCGCTGCGTCCAGGGACAATTAAAGAGAATGTACAAGATATCAGAATACTATACCTACCGACGCTCAAATAATACAGCAGACTAAAACAAAATGAGAGATGGTCTTATGTCACAAGAGTTGCCACAACAAAACTAAATGAAGGAAGAAGCCGGTATTGATCAAATTGTGATTAATTCTAACTAAATCCAGACCGACGGGTGCTCAAGCTAAAATACAGAACACCACCATAAATGACGAAGACAACCCGCATAAGAAAAGGTGGAACAACCAAACACAAGAAGCATTTGGAGCCATGTCAGTATAGCTCTGATTATTCTAAATTACGGCTTCAGAAATGTCGGCTACAAAAGTATTGGAAATCTCCATTCCAGCACAATTATTTTGTGCAAATGGTACATACTTATGCGAGTAAATCTTTGCAAATGAGTCATCCGAAGGGCAATCCATGGTGGAAAAGAGCAGCATGAAAAGATACATAAGAATCACATATTTATGCCAGAAAATGTTTTCAAATAAGCCCATTTGAACACGATCCACGGTGAAAAAGAGTAGCACGAAAATATGATATGAATCAGTCAGAGACCAGCAAGCCTCAAGAACTATGAAGACCATGCTAATTAGAGAGGCATGAAATGTAGGAACAGAGTGAACCTACCACTTCTAGAAAAAAACCAGACCGTTGACATAAGGAGAATATCTCTATGCAAAGATAGTCCATTAGCAGATTCTTTACGATTTTGATAAGACAGAGGAACAAGCAAGAGTCTATAGAAGGAACTCTAGGACCCACTCAGTTCACAGAGTTAAATACCTACGGAGAGCAAGGGGGAGGAGATAACAAGAAGTAGCACTGCAGCAAAGCACAGCAGATCACCTTCTGGTATTGGTGAAAATAGTAATCTTCTTAGGTTGACATGATGAACAACTGAATCATGTTCTCAGCTGCTCGTTTCTGCTCGGTAGTGCCCGAAATCAAGGCTATCCGTTCTGAGCGAGATGTTTTTGAGTCTACAATCTCTACATTGGCTCCAGATATCTGAATCACAGACAAAACAAATTCAGTAACAAATTTGATATATTTCAAGGCTAAATAGAAAGAAATAAAAAAAAAAGAAATCAATGCTACAATAATTATCAGTGCTAACTGAATGAGAAAAGAGAAAGAAAACACACCTTTCTAATGTTATCAATGTTCCCTCCGCCTTTACCCATAACTTTAGACACGGCATTGGCAGGAATCACCACCTCATTATACATAGGCAATCTGCATCGGAGTAAACAAAGTAAGAGATATTAGAACTTGCAATCGCCTAAATTCTACTGCTATTATCAGTACTTGTTCGAGCACTATTCTCAAAATCCGGTTATACTCGATATATAAACAAAAGATTTGCCTGTTTGTCTCCAGCCAGAAGTGCATTTCTGAAATATTAGAACTTGCAATCGCCTAAATTCTACTGCTACTATCAGTACTTGTTCGAGCACTATTCTCAAAACCCGGTTATCACTCGACATATAAACAAAAGATATGCCTGTTTGTCTCCAGCCAAACGTGCATTTCTGAAAGAGCAAGTCGATGTGCTATGTATGCATCTATATGTATTGTGTACCAACTATTGTGTCAAAAATATGTTAGGAAATGTACGAAGCTTAAAGCTCAGTCATTATAAACATTATTGTAGTGTATGTTGCACATTGATAGTTCATATCTAAGGTGCAACAAAACTCTGAAGTTGTGATGGAGGTTGAACGTTATAGTTTTATACTCTAAGCATACCCTCACTGGTTGAGTGCCCTTTTCATGCAGAGATGTGGACTCACACCATGGCACCTCTTATTTAATCCATATTAAATGCATGGTTGACTTAGGTGCTCGGTACCATGTTAAAGGTCCATTCCAACTCCGAAGTTATGGTGAGGGTTACAATTTTATAATATAACTCTAATGTGCAGAACGTGCTGATTTGAAAATGTAAATGCCATGAACAGGTTTTCTATACAACCCAGGAACACACAAAGCAAAGAGCATATAATTGGAGTCAGAAAGTTCATACCCTCCATAACCTTTCGAAGAATATGAAGAAAGAGATCCATATCCACTGTCCCCACCCTTCACAAACAGAAGATGAAAACAAATGAACAATGTTAAAGGGGAATGCACACAAACAGCAAAAAAACACATGCCCCCATGTACGGGCAGCAATGGAGATTTATACCAAGTTTTCAAGTTAATCAGTAAGATTCAAGATACCTGCAAAGCGCTGTATCCATATAAACTACTTCCAGTAAATGATGCCAGTCCCCTTCTTTCACCCTCGACTCTCTGATCATAACCTAAGGGTGCAAGTGAAGGAACACTAGGCAACACTGGAGGCACAGGCAGACTACTTGAATAAATAGAATCACTCGGAGGTGGATTACTCCGACCACCATCACCATCTTTAAGCACGTCTTGTCTAAGCCTTAGAATTATCTGAAGGAGAGCATCTCGCAAGTTACCTACCTCTCCAGACACCTACGAGAATGAGGGTAGTTTATGTAAAAGCCACTGGAAGAAAAACAAAGGGAAGGACATTTGATGACAAACCTCCACAAGCTCATCGTTGACGGTAGCACTCTTGGGTTTTTCACCTTTGGAGATACGAATCTGTGCATAAGTCTTCTTTCGCATTTCATTTACAATTGAACCATTCTTTCCAATGAGACAGCCGATGACCTTTGAGGGAACAAGAAGGCGAATGTTAACCTTGTCATCATCTTCATCATTGATCTTACTTTGAAGGAGCAAAACAGCTTCAGCAGCAGCAGACTTGAAGTCCTCAGTGGACTCCGTAGATGTGATGGTGATAACACATTCTTCAGTATCATGCTTTGTATCATCAACTTCAATTTGCGCTCCACTAGACTGCCTTATATTTTTTATGGTACTTCCATTTTTACCAATGACTCGTCCTATCTTATCAGATGGACACAAAACCTGAACAATTAACTCCTCTGATCTTGATTGACCACTATATGCAGGAGCAATAGGAAGTGCTGATGGCCACGCACTAGCAACTTCAGCATACCCATGAAGATCAGCAAGCTGAGGTGTCGCACTTAAACCTGCAGGTAAAGTTCTTGAAGGAGGAATTATAGTATCTGTACTGGGGAAGAAGCTACCCGGAGGATATATGGGGAGGTCTGATGGAATTATGATGGGTGGAAGTTCAGGAACAGTAGTGTCAAGGGGAACCTCTTCTCTTGGAGAGAACTTGTACATTATAGCAGAGACTGCAAAAAGCGCCCTGTTGACTTCCTCAGCATCGCCAGATATCTGCTCAAAGCATGTATAGATGAGTAGGTTAGATAAAGCTAAGTATAAAAAGAATCTGCAAGTGAGATAAATCTATGAGAAGGAATATCGATAAATTATACTTCAGAAAAGAGTACAGTCAGCAGATTAAATTTAATTATTACTGACTGGGCTACTTTATGTGCTACTACGCTGCACAAACAATACAAGAAATAAATAGGATATCATATGGTTTGCAACCACGTCAAATTCTAAAAAGATCTAGCATATGAATACATCATAATTTGTCAATATAAGTGGAAATTTTATATGTTTTAGTATCAATATTGAATTAAAAGCTGTAAACGTTCATGCAGAAAACTCGGAAACTCAAAAACATCTACCAACATATATAAACCAATATTATCAGAATAAATATAGTTACTTTATTCAGAAGGTGTATACATATAGATGTATTCACAATTCAAATAGAAATACATACACGTCATATCAAATTTCTAACTTTTAGTCTCAGATATATGTTTCATATATCTAGTAACTACATAAATTCCACTTAATATGTCAAAAGGAATGTCTGATAATGGATGGAGAATGCAGAGGCTCAAGTATATGATATGTACAAGTTATGGCTGCCTCCTTTATCAAATAATCTGTCAAATGCGAGTCAGGCATGCAATGAATGCTGGATAAACAAGGTTGAACTGAAAAGTGCACTTTGGGCAAATATAGCATGGTATTACAGGAGATCAACATCACAAAATGCATTCAATGCTCAGATATAAATGTCTGGAGGATTATGCCTCCTCTACTGACTTTGTTTTAAATGCTTTTAAATGTAAAGGAGATAAGAAATTAATTAATTTTTTTAGTATAATGACCGGGGTCATAATTCAATTTGGTAAGATGACTAAGAATAGAAGCATCTTTCAGTATTCAACGTCATTAAATATCACGAGAAATAATCCATGGAATTCTCCGTCAAAGGGTATTTGAAGAACCTAATTTTTCGAAATTCTTTGTTTGCTTTATGAGCCAAAAACCTTTCTCAATCATAGCCTTCTAAACTTGGAGAATGAAAAAAAAAGAACAGAAGGATAGAACATGCCTAAGACTGTCTAGTCGTCTATCCATATCTCCAATAAGAAGATCATCACAATATGAGTTATCAGATAAAAAGAAATTTGAACGGAACAATGAGAGAACATGGATCCAACATGATCCACCCACCAATAACCATATTCAGCTTCTTTACAATGAGTAAGGAGTTCTCTGATCCATGTGTACTTGTATAGATCGAATTCTCTTTTTCCATTCTGGATAATAGATGTATATAAAAAACCTGTTGATTAGGACACACATCTTATTAATCTAAATCAGTCTAGTTTCCTAATATATATAATATGATATGCAAGTAGATAGTTTCCAGAAGATGTAAATCATACACATGATCTATACTCAATATTATACCATATTTGATACTCTCTTTATATTCCTCATTATTAATAGCGAACGACCTGCTTGTCATTCTATTTTTATCGGTACGATCATGGACACATTAATGCTATATTCCTTTTTGACTCTAAGTTTGCTTAAAACTTTAGTTGAAAATTTTCTAAGTTTTTTTCAGCATGAAAAATTATTTTGCAAGGTTGATGAACTATAAAATAATGTTTGAAGTCGCTTTACTGAGATCATTATAAAAGGTTATAAGATGTTGACAAAATATTCATGGCCAATTACTAAAGCTTACAAATATGATTAGCATCTTTGTCTTATTTATATTAATTTTGAATTGAAAATATGGAAATTCCTAATATTCGACCCATATGAACATCCGTTTCTTACAAATATGGGTATAAATTCTGTCATTGTATGATATTTGGGTTTGCGTCCACAAACAAAAATATCATATAAATACGCACATACTCACATCTGATGCATTCTTAACCTTGCAAATGAGCTCATCTCAAATGATGATGCTTTCTCGTGGAATTGGCTTTATGTTGAAACCTCACCATTTACACTGGCTGCCTGGTTTCTGAAATAACTTGTACCAACCGCAACTCATTACGGGATGACTAAGATACATGAGGCATAGAGGTGGCTAGCAGTTCATGATGGCCCATTTCATCCATGAATGGAATGACTAAGGTTTATAAGCATTACTAACTACTGGAGAGAGATCTCTGGAACACTTACTATGTTTGGATGGAGGGTAATGGGACGCTAGGGGAAAGGAAAAAGAGAGTTACTCTGTTTGGGAGTTTTTTTTAAGAGAGGTAAGGGAGGGGGAAAAGGTTCAATTTTGTTCCCCTCTAAATTGGGGGTAGAGGAGGGGAAGAGAAAGAAAGTAAAACTTCATAATGAAAGAGACATCTTGACCCTCTATAATAATGAATCAATGATTAAAATTCATTTACATCCCTTCCCATAATTAAAACTCCCAAACAAAATAATTTAAGTTCACCTCCATTACCCTTACAAAACTTCCAAACAAGATATTATATTTTCCCTCCTCTTCCTTACCTTTCCTTTCCCTATCTTACCTTTCCTTTCCTTCCCTTATTGAACTCCCAAACATAGCATTAAGAAAATATTATTCAAGGGGGGAGTTGCTTTCTGCATAACGATGTCTATGTCATTAAGAAGTTATTTCCATTAAAAAAATTGCAAGTTATGTCTAAGATAAGCCAGCTGGAAGTAACAGCTATGAAATCCTAGTCCTACACCACCAAATAAATTAGTTTTACCTAGCAATTTACTGTAATGACAATTGCAGCTGCAGCATTCCCTTAACAGAAAATTTGAAACAATAAAATTAACAACATTACATCACTCATTAAGTACGGTTCAAAAGACACTGAGCAGGCTCAAAGCAAAATAGTGTAGTACATGTTGCAGCTAAGAGAATGACAATAGGTTTGCATTTATTTAATGCAAAATGAGCACAGACCTGGATGAAATTGTCAAAATTCATCGCACAGGAATGGGTGATGTCCCCAGGATCCTTCGGATTAACCTTGATGTTTGCACCTGTCTTGGACCGAAGTCTCTTGATAGTAGTACCAGATTTACCAATTACCGCCGCAGCCTGACTAGCTGGCACTAAAAGATACGCTTCTTCCTTATTTGAATCATTGGTATTGGCTAGAGCATTTACAATAGTAGAATGCACCTTAAGCAAGGCATCTTGGGCAGGACATATAGGTTCTGTGTCATCCTCATTGACATCATTGATATCTTTATCCTTGACGTAGCAATATATGTTTATAACCCTTTTGTTTGCACCAGGAAAAGGATCAACAACCTTGATTCTAGCATTTGTCTCTTGTCTCAGGGCATTAATCACATTACCACTCTTGCCGATAACACTTCCAATAATATCATTTGGGCAAAGTATGCGATAAAGAACCAATTCACCGCCACTGGAATTATCCCTGTTTGTTGCCCTTCTCTTCTGATTCTTTCCATCATTATTCCTATCATTGTTCCTATTCCTCTCCCTATCCCTGTCCCTATCCCTATCTTGACGGGAACGCTTACCAGTCTCACCCATGATTTAGTAACAGGACTATAACCTGCAATAGTTCACATAAAATTTTACAAGAGAACTTGAATAGTACTAGGATACCAATAGAGTTTTCCACACAAAATGAAGAAAGCATGATTACTATTGACAAATTCTCCGTCTACACAGAACATATGTTGCATTTAAAAATGCGACAAGCATTAATTGATTACACACTAGGAGACAGATACACAGAATAAGGAAAATAATATTTGCATGCCCTAGGAAACTCTTCCTATCATAAAAAAGAGAGCCAGTAAAAGTCTACTGCTTTTTTCGGTAGAATTATAGAAAGAAGTCAGGCCAACCAGAATTGAACCCTAAATCAAATAAAGTTGCATAATCCATAATCTCTAAATCCTATTTTTAGACTGAAACCATCAAATCTATCACTTGTTGATGGTAATAATACGACTAGTGTTCTTCTGCCTTTTCAATTAGTCACAGTTACAGTATATTGCCAATAACAAAAACTATAAAAACTAAAAGAAACCTCTTTCTTCAGTTTTTCTTTTGCATTTATAATGAAAAAAAATCTCAAAAAATACAGTGAGATGACAATATAAATAATTGGTTCAATGAGATTGCTCAAGTTTTCAAAATGTAAGTACATGATTTTAAAAAAAAATTAGGCTCATAAAAGGGAACTAAATCCGATCATTCACAAAATACACCTGATCAATTCACAAGATTCACAGTAAAAATCAAACATCCTAATTAAGGATTAAACAACAAATAATAGTCAAAATCATGTCAATTATGAACCTAGGGTTTTACTACAAACCTGAAAAAGATTACAATGGAGATCAAAGGGACTAACCTTGATCCCTGATGATGGAAACCCTAACAAAAAAAAAATTTGCGGAGAAATTCGAGGTGATAAAGAGCAAAAGCCCTAACCTTTGAAAAGAGGTGCAAAAACCCTAGAGCACGACAGAGCGAACGAATCGCCGGCTCAACGATTTTGGGGGTGTATTTAGAGTGGTGACGTGTGTCACCGGCAGTAGCCGGTTGCTGCGTTAAGCGGATCTATTAAACGGGTCGGATCTGTAACTCGGATCCAAAATTCAGAAAACCTTTTCCACTTTCTTTTTCAATTCATTTTGAACTATTTTTTCCCCATTTCGTACTGTATGAACTTAAATTGATACGATCCTTTAAGATATATAAAAGATCGTGCGTATGGATGAGAAAACCTTTCCCACTTTCTTTTTCAATTGCATCTCAACTGAGGAATGGTTGTCATTGATTTAATATCATCATTTTTCTCTCTTTGGTTGTCGGAGTTTGTGCTATTTATACAAGTATCAATGTGAACGTATGTCTAATTATGCATGCGAATAAGATTTATATATTATTGGAACGATCTGAAAGATCCATTTAGTTACTTAAAAAACACCCAAAAAGATGAACCGATCTAGAAAGTTGGATGAACTAGTACATGACAACCAGTACATGACCATAGACCCTAGTGATTAAGTCACATTGAGGCATGTGAAATCGATGACACATCATGTAAAGAGAAAAATGTTGGATTTAATCTAATAAATCTATTTGTGGGCACATATGATTAATCAATGTGTATTGCTATCTTTCAGGATAACCCACTAAAGTGATCAATTAAGTTGGGTTAATTTGGTATTTAAATAAGTCATGGGGTTATATGTGCAGATACCAGGTTGTAATTGTAATTTATTGAGGGGCTAAATTACAAAAGTACAACATCTATAAATAAGGGGTTATGGTCCCTAACCTAGGGTTACATTCTCTAATTCTCTTCACCCCATCTAAGAGAGAAATTCGGCTAAGAGAGAACCCTAAGGTTAGAAGATCATTCAGGTATAAGCTTCCCGCTCTTTTAGATCCTTGTTAATCTCTTTGAATTAATCATGGCTATATAGTTTTAGATCTCAAGTTTAATGATGTAGATCTAACAAGTGGTATCAGAGCCACCTTGATTAATTCTTAGGGATTTAAGTTTTATTGGGTTTTTTGATCTTAAATCTCTAGTTAAAGATTCAATTTTTGGGTTCGGATGAACAGTAATGTTCGGTGAACAGTAGTGAAATTTTTTTTTTGTTCGGGTGAACAGTAAATTGTTTTTTCGGATGAACAGTAACTGAAAAATCGCTGGTGAACAGTAACTTTTGGGAATTTTTTTGATTTTTCTTTGATTTTTCCTTCAATTTTTTCCAATTCTGGATCTGTTTTGAAAATAAAAATCAAAGGTTTTTTGTGTTTGACGGCGGCGATTTCAGTTTGAAACCCTAAGGGTTCATGGCGAAATTTTTTGGGTTTGTCGGCGGCGGGTTCAATTTGAAACCCTAAGGGTTCATGGCGAAAATTAAGGAGGTGGTTACCTCAAACGAACCTCGCGTTCGTTCAACTTTAACCGAGCTTCGCGCTCAACGAACCTCGCGTTCGTTCTAAGGTGAACCTCGCGTTCAACTCAGGTGAGCGTCAAGCTCAATTTCAACGAACCTCGTGTTCGTTCTAAGGTGAACCTCGCGTTCAACTCAGGTGAGCGTCAAGCTCAATTTTTAACGAACCTCGCGTTCTTCTAAGGTGAACCTCGCGTTCAACTCAGGTGAGCGTCAAGCTCAATTTTAACGAACCTCGCGTTCGTTCTAAGGTGAACCTCGCGTTCAACTCAGGTGAGCGTCAAGCTCAATTTTAACGAACCTCGCGTTCGTTCTAAGGTGAACCTCGCGTTCAACTCAGGTGAGCGTCAAGCTCACTTCAGACGAACCTCGCGTTCGTGCTTCAGTCGAACCTCGCGTTCGAACTTCAGACGAACCTCGCGTTCGTACTTCAGACGAACCTCGCGTTCGTACTTCAGTTGAACCTCGCGTTCATTATTTAAATGACTATGCATTAAGAACTGAACAACCCCAACCTCTCAATGCGGATAGCACTCCTGATGCAAAGAAGGAGCATGAGAAGTGGGAGCGTTCAAATCGCATGAGTCTTATGATCATTAAGCGCGGCGTTCCGGAAGCCTTCAGGGGCATAGAATCCGAAGGGATTACTAAGGCTAAAGATTTCCTTGCCGAAATTGAGAAGCGTTTTGCGAAAAACGATAAGGTAGAAACAAGCACGCTTTTAGCTCGCTTGATTTCAATGAAGTATAAGGGCAAAGGAAATATCAGGGAGTACATTATGGAAATGTCTCATATTGCTTCAAAGCTTAAGGCACTTAAACTCGATCTTTGTGACGAGTTATTAGTGCATCTGGTTTTGTTGTCTCTTCCTGCACAGTTTAACCAATTTAAGGTCAGTTATAACTGTCAAAAGGAGAAATGGACTCTAAATGAGCTCATTTCATACTGTGTGCAAGAAGAAGACAGGTTGAAGCAAGATAAGACAGAAAGTGCTCATTTGGCCTATGCCTCTAAGGATAAGGGCAAGAAAAGGAAGAATGATAAGGAAGCTGCTAAGGGTCCAGTTGAGAAGAAACAACATAAGGATAATCAGGGTTGTTTCTTCTGTAAGAAGCCTGGACATGTAAAGAAGGACTGTACAAAATATCACGCCTGGCGTGATAATAAGGGTACGTTCCTTGCTTTGGTCTGTTCTGAGGTTAATTTAGCTTCAGTACCTAGAAACACTTGGTGGTTAGACTCTGGTGCTACTACTCACATAAGTGTTTCTATGCAGGGTTGCCTGAGCTACCGAAAGCCAAGTGATGTTGAAAGACACATCTTTGTGGGCGACGGACAATCGGTAGATGTGGAAGCAATTGGGCACTTTAGGTTGTTGTTAGGAACTGGTTATTATTTGGATTTAAAAGATACTTTTGTAGTACCGTCTTTTAGACGGAATTTGGTTTCTGTTTCTGTATTGGACAAATCAGGTTATTCTTGTTCATTTGGAAACAGTCAATTCAGTTTATCTTTTAATTCAAATGTTGTGGGAACCGGTTACTTGAGTATTTATGACAACCTATATTTGCTTGATACAATTGCTTCTTACAATGAATCCTTGCATGTGGAATCACGTGGTACTAAGCGTAAATTAAATAAGGAAAATTCGGCGACATTATGGCATAAGCGCTTAGGTCATATCTCAAAAGGTAGAGTTGAGCGTCTTGTGTCTGATGGCATTTTGGATTCCCTTGATTTTTCGGACTTCGACGTATGTGTTGAATGTATCAAGGGAAAACAGACCAAAGTGAAGAGATTAGGTGCCAACAGATCTTCGGATGTCTTAGAATTGATACATACGGATATTTGTGGGCCATTCCCTACGGAATCCTGGAATGGTCAACAATATTTTATATCATTCATAGACGATTACTCACGTTATGGGCACCTATATCTTATTCATGAAAAATCTGAGTCTCTGGACATGTTCAAAGCCTATAAAGCTGAAGTTGAGAATCAACTCAACAGAAGAATTAAAACCGTCAGATCTGATCGTGGTGGTGAGTACTACGGTAGATATGATGGTTCAGGTGAACAACGTCCAGGACCATTTGCTAGATACCTAGAGGAATGCGGTATCGTCCCACAGTACACTATGCCGGGTTCACCTAGCATGAATGGTGTAGCTGAAAGACGAAACAGGACTCTTAAGGATATGGTAAGAAGTATGATTGCTCATTCTTCTTTACCAGAGTCACTCTGGGGAGAAGCACTTAAGACAGCAGCTTACATTCTGAATAGAGTACCAAGTAAAGCAGTTGCTAAAACACCTTATGAGCTTTGGACTGGTCGAAAGCCCAGTTTAAAGCATTTACATATTTGGGGATGTCCAGCTGAGGCAAGGCCTTATAGGCCAAATGAAAAGAAATTGGACTCCAAAACAGTTAGCAGCTACTTTATTGGGTACCCTGATCGCTCTAGGGGCTATAAGTTTTATGATCCCACTATAAGGAATATTTTTGAGACGGGAACAGCAACATTCTTTGAGGATGTTGAGTTTGGGGGGAGAAATAAGGTTAGAGACATTAGTTTTGAGGAGGAATTGGCTTCAGATCCAATCCATACAGTTACTTTTGACAATATTCAGGTTCCTATACCTGTTGTTGCTCAAGAAGTAAATCCGGAACCTCAAGATGATAATGTTGAACAACTCCCTGTTCCAGAAGAACAAACTCAACAACCTCAAGAACCAGTGCCATTAAGGAGATCCACGAGAGAAAGGAGAAATGCTATTCCGGATGATTATATTGTATTTCTCCAAGAACATGAGGAAAGTAGTGGAATGTTAGAAGATGATCCAATCAACTTCTCTCAGGCCATGAAAAGTTCTAACTCTCAACAGTGGATTGATGCCATGAATGAAGAGTATAAGTCTATGCAAGACAATAAGGTTTGGGAACTTGTCCCATTGCCAGAAGGTGCAAAACCAATTGGTTGTAAATGGATTTTTAAAACCAAGCGGGATGCAAACGGTAATGTGGAGAGGTATAAGGCGCGTCTTGTGGCTAAAGGCTATACTCAAAAGGAAGGCATTGATTATACAGAGACTTTCTCTCCGGTTTCATCGAAAGACTCTTTCAGAATAATCATGGCACTTGTTGCTCATTATGATCTTGAGTTACATCAGATGGATGTTAAGACTGCATTTCTCAATGGAGACATTGATGAGATGATTTATATGGTGCAACCAGAAAACTTTGTGTCAGGAGACCCAAAGAATATGGTTTGCAAATTAAGGAAATCCATCTATGGACTCAAGCAAGCTCCTCGTCAATGGTATCATAAGTTTCAACAAATAGTTATCTCGTTCGGTTTTGAGATGAACATTGTTGATGACTGTGTATATCACAAGTTCAGTGGGAGTAAGTATATTTTTCTGGTTCTGTATGTGGATGACATCTTGCTTGCCACTAATGATATAGGCATGTTGCACGAAACCAAGAGATTTCTATCAAAGAATTTTGAGATGAAAGATCTTGGGGACGCCTCTTTTATATTAGGGATCCAGATACATCGAGATCGCTCTCGGGGTATTCTTGGATTATCACAAAAGAGCTATATCGATAAGGTACTTAAAAGGTTTGGCATGCAAGATTGCAGACCAGGTGACACCCCTGTTGCTAAAGGAGACAAGTTTAGTCTCAATCAGTGCCCTAAAGGTAACCTTGAAATTCAGGAAATGCAGAAGATTCCTTATGCTTCGGCTGTAGGAAGTCTAATGTATGCTCAGGTATGTACGCGTCCGGATATTGCGTACATTGTTGGGATGTTAGGCAGATACTTAAGCAACCCTGGTATGGATCATTGGATAGCAGTCAAAAGGGTTATGAGGTATCTTCAGAAAACAAAAGATTACATGCTCACATACAGAAAATCAGAGAAATTAGAGGTCATTGGGTATTCGGACTCTGATTTTGCTGGATGCCAAGATAGCAGGAAGTCTACATCAGGCTACATTTATATGTTAGCAGGAGGAGCTATATCATGGAAAAGTGTCAAACAAACACTAGTAGCTTCCTCCACTATGGCAGCAGAATTTGTAGCTTGCTATGAGGCATCCAATCAGGGAATATGGCTGCGAAATTTTGTCACGGGACTGCGCATTTTGGAAAATGTTGAAAGACCACTAAGGTTATATTGTGACAATAAATCTGCAGTAATGTATTCCAATAACAACAGGAGCTCAACTAAGTCAAAACATATTGACATTAAGTTCCTGGTTGTGAAAGAAAGGGTACAGAGTGGACAGATATCCATAGAGCACATTGGGACAAACTCCATGATAGCTGATCCTCTTACTAAGGGACTGCCACCTAAGGTCTTTCATGAGCATACTGCTCATATGGGTGTGGTATTATTTGAGGATATTATGTTTTAGTGGGAGTTTGTATTTGTGGTGCTTTATGTTTGTTTGTATTGTCTGATCAGAATAAAGTTTTCAGTTAAGACACTCTGTTACATTATGTTTGGTTTTGACCTCATTAAGGAGGACCAGTTGAAAATAGACATGTACTGATCACATTGCATGTAATTTTCATGCTGCGCATCCATGATTGATCTATGTCGTTTGATTGTATTGGTATATGTGACCATTGATGGGTCGAGTCACGATAAATGTGACGAAGGCCGCTTTGATCCTATATTGATATGGTCAATGGACGAGATTGTTCAGAAATACCATTTCAGTGATAGCAATTTTTGAGCTCATAAGGTTATACACAATTTAAGGAATCATATGGTGCCCAAGTGGGAGATTGTTGGATTTAATCTAATAAATCTATTTGTGGGCACATATGATTAATCAATGTGTATTGCTATCTTTCAGGATAACTCACTAAAGTGATCAATTAAGTTGGGTTAATTTGGTATTTAAATAAGTCATGGGGTTATATGTGCAGATACCAGGTTGTAATTGTAATTTATTGAGGGGCTAAATTACAAAAGTACAACATCTATAAATAAGGGGTTATGGTCCCTAACCTAGGGTTACATTCTCTAATTCTCTTCACCCCATCTAAGAGAGAAATTCGGCTAAGAGAGAACCCTAAGGTTAGAAGATCAAAACCCATCTCAAGATCAAGAAATGGATTCAGGTATAAGCTTCCGCTCTTTTAGATCCTTGTTAATCTCTTTGAATTAATCATGGCTATATAGTTTTAGATCTCAAGTTTAATGATGTAGATCTAACAAAAAAAGCAAAGAAGATATATATGCAAGAAGAAAAACTATACAAATCAGTAAATTGCTCTCACTCTAAGATTGTTAGTAGAGATAAAAGGTTAGACTAATCATAACAGTCCATGCGAGAAAAATCAGTGCCATTATCATTCTCTGTTCGCGACAAAAACTCCGGATACATTTCCAAACATGTATACGGTATACCAACCCCTCCTGCCGAACCAGAATAAACATAATCTACACATAAAATGCTTCCGCTAAAATTCTTTATTATCCGTAAATATTTAGAAAAAGATACCGACATAACCACCAGAGTAACTCTCAATAATACTTACCTTTTCTGTCCGTGATGGATGTTTTTGTTCACCGTATTTACCCGGATTTTTGCAAATATTACTTGGATCTTTCAATTTAATAATTTATCATGGCTTTTGAAGAAATGAATGCTAATTCATCCGGGTTCCTATCGGGTTCGAGCACAAAATCAGTTCCTCCCTTTAAACGGATTCGGACCCAGTTTCCATCTATTTTACCCAAACCCGGCCCTGTTACAACCCTAAAATACCCGGGGCTTCCCAAATGTTCACCGCGAAGCGGATGTAGCATATTTTTCACCGCCATTTTAGGCCTCTATTTTCTTCTTATATCAGAAATTATTCTTTTGAATTAAACAAAACTAAATCACAAAGATACGATCTTTGGAACCCTAGAGTTTCTCCCCTCAGCAATTATGCTCCTGTCCAGGCTCTCCCGGATCGGAGCTCGGTTCCTGAAGCTGAACGAATTAAGAGCAGGTGCGTTTTTTTTAGAATTTATTTTTATTTTTATGCTCAATTGAAAATATTTTGAACCTTTATATGATTTTGGGTTTTTTTTTTAATTTTATTAGGACGTGGAGAATCGTTCATTTATTAGGGGTTTGGATGCTGTGTAGACTTTAGTTATATATATTGGGGGCACGCAAGAGTTTTGCTGTTTGTGTATACGATGGTTGAAATTGTTGAGTTGAGGAGCAGCAAGTATCCATTTTTATTTGATTAAGAGTGTAAGCCATGATTTCATGGGAATTTGGAAGCGATTAGCTTATATTTCTAATTGTTATTAAAGGCTGAAATGTTTTCTACTATGAATTTTTTATAATTAACTGAAGAAATAGACAATGTAGGGGAACAAGGAGAAGTAAGCTAGGAGCAGACAAGAGGAAAGATGAGCACACGCCAATACGGAAAAGACCAATATGTGTTTCCGAGAGCGCTAGGAAATTGCCCTCAGAGACTAAAAATTTCTTTAAACATTTTTGGGCGTTTTAGTTTAAGGCATGAAAAATAGGCTGTTGCTTTCGAGCTCAAATGTAATTTTTTTGGTATCGACTATTACGAGGCGTCTTTCCTAAAATGACAGGAGGACTGTATGTTGTTTATTAGAGTAGGCAGCTACTTAAGTAAGGAGATAAGGAAGCTTCAGAAGATGCCAACATTCTTGGTTGAGGAGTTAAGGATGTTATTTGAGAGAATGGTCTAGGTTAGGTTTGAAGATTATTCTAGAGGGCGACGGAGGGAATAGATTCGTGGCTATTTATAACAATATTGTAGTAGCTAGTGATTGTGCAACATGATATGAATGTTATGCATGTATTGACTATGTAGACAATCAAACAATGATGATGAGTCAGAAGGATTTCGCAATAAACTACAAATGGATCTAACAATTCTGAGAATGACAATATGCATAAGCAAGATAAATTATAGTTTTCAACAGTAAGTCATGATATAAAGCCGCTGCAGTTAGCAGTACGTAAAGAGAAGAGTTAAAAATTTTAAGTTATTTAGCGCACAATGTGCAATATAGTGGTTCTGTTTGATGTTGGTGGCTTGATGCGTGCATCCGCTCTATATGTGGTTTGTCCTGGCTATGAAAACATTCACTATTTGATCCCCCCTATTGGACATATTCCTGTATGTTATTGGATAGAGAGCCGCCTATCTGCAATTAACCAACCACTTGTCCAAGAGTTATCTTAGAAGAATAAAACCAATCCATATCAATGGATCTGCGAGGATGGCTCACTTGATAACTCCTAACTTGATTATGCAAGTGGAAGCTTTTGGGTCTACTATGTATGTACGTACGTATGTGGAAGTGTGAGCAACATATTCAATTGGCGATCGATTTATGATCTCCTTGGGTTTTGATGTTCAAATAATTCTTCATATTTAATGGCTAGAACACCAAGTTGCCTTTATTGAGTCCATGCATGATGTTACCATCTGCACTCGTCAATTAAAGACCTTTTTATTTTGAAAAGATGAGGGCCAATTTTTTTATTTTTTATTGTCCTACCTCTTTGTGAGAATACTGGATCCAAATTTGTCATATTCA